TCATACACAAAGCCCTGTTTTGTGTATATTAATTACACTATAACCCTTGGATGTGAAATATGTTCATGTGCACATAGTATACCCAAAGTTGCATAATGAAACACATTTAAATCAGGAAAAATATATTGAAGTTTTCTGGGCGATGCTTGTTGGACCCACTTGTGCCTCTTTCAGTCCCTGGTATCTCATCACCTCATTGTGAGTTTTCTTTTCTTCAGGATTCTTTGATATGTTCCCTGAATAATGCTTTTTTAAATAATATTTAAAATCCTGTAGCAATAGTTCAAGGCCAGGCTGGACGGGGCTTGGAGCAACCTGGTCCAGAGGAAGGTGTCCCTGCCCGTGGCAGGGGGTTGGAATGAGATGAGCTTTAGGTTCCTTTCCAATCCAAACCATTCAGGGATTCTATGAATGGTAACCTGCCAGGATGCACATGGAGCAGCATGTGGGTAATTTTACTTTCCAGAATGTTTCCTTGCAAGAAGCAGATGACAGGACAGATATCTCAGATCTTAATTCAATATCTAGGGAAAGGCTTGTTCCAGTGGGCCAGGCTTTTCTGACTCAGGCAGGGCATGAGAAAAGGAATTACATGACATGTTAACGTGCAATAGCTGTGAAATCGGTGCCTCACACTATCCCCAGATTTCATCCATTTTACCCTACTCCAGTCTGTTCTTGGAGCAAACCTCAGTCTCCAACCATCCATCTCTTATTTTCCCATGCCAGAAAATTAAGCAGCTTCTGTCCCCCCTCAAAGAGGGGCAGGATCATTTCCTGGAGGTGTGAGTGGCAATCTCTTCCCTGTTGGGTTTTTCAGCAGTGTCTGTACCTGGCACTACCTGAAGCTTTCAGTGTAGCATCCATGGAGCATCCAAGCTGGATCCATGCCCAGCGTAAGTGGAGTCTTCATGAAATTTAGAGAGATTTAAATGCCTCCTGAGCTCCTGTAGACTGATTATTTTTTTCCAAAAGCTTGTAACTCAACCAACTTTAGATAGGCTTTTGTGGGAATGCCAGAACATATACCCTTGATCACTTCCCTGCCAAATATCAAGTCTGCCCAAAAGGTAGGAAGAACTAGGTGATGTTAAAACTCTTCCAAGGGAAGATGGCCATTATTTTTTAAATTGGGAGATTACACTGAAACTCTGCACAGATGGCTCAAAGTTTGAAAAGCCTTTTTTTTATTATTATTATTATTCCTTGGTCTCTGTTAGTTTGTAGAGCTTGCAAAACTCTCTCTGTGACTCAGTCTCCCCCAGGGAAATGTATTTCCTTAACCCCCAGGCTTAAAGAAATGTAT